CCCTGGAGAGGGACCCTGACCAGAGCAGCTCCGCAGGTAGAGCCACATCGTCTCCCGCCGCTGCCTCATGGGGCGCAGGTAAACACCTACGGGTTTAAACGTCCTGGATGATTTTTTTTTTGTCCCTCCTCCTCCCCGTTTTCTAGGAAAAGAGACGATGGGCGAAGGCGCTTGCGCCTGGTTCCTGGGTGCCGGCTCTCCGACGGTGAGCACCGCTTGGGTTTTCCGAAGGGCATCGCCAAAGCCTTGGGGCTGGGAGCCGCGCCGTTCGGTATCTGCTGTGCATCGTCAGACTCCCCACTGCCACCCTTACGAGGGGCAAATAAATTAGGTAGTCCCCTAAAAACCAAACGGAATTTCAACAAATCCAAGGCCACAGGAAAGGGGCTTCTCTGATCGCTTGTTTTCGTTGCAGAAGCCACCCGCCATGCGAATGCTTAAAGCCCAGGGCAGAGGACAGGCAGCCACCAGAGCGCTCAAGAGCAGGGCCTCTCAGCATCCCTTGCCCACACCTCATCTCCATCAACACAGAGGAACATGCCTCGTGGTACCGTTTGCATTTGCTGGGTCCAGCTGGTTTTTTTCTTCTAAATCTCATTCTGGCCAGGACTCTGAGGCCAGCTCCGGGGAGGGAGCTGTGCTGCGGCACCGGTAATACCAGTTGTGCTGGTTGTACATGGCTTGTACTTACCTGGGGCCTCAGGGGCAGTTCGGGTTACATGCAGCGACAGCTAAGCCTGTCCTAAGAGGTAATCCCTGCCTGGAAGACCTTGTCTTCCCAGCTGCCACAGGAACCAGAGCGCAACTGGAAAGGCGAGCAGGGAAAACAGCGCGCCAGGCTTCAGACTTCACATCAGGTCCGCCACTGGGATTATTATTTTGGATATCCTTGGTAGGACCTCAGTTGGAGCTTTGTTCCCAGGCCAGCAGTACAGTGATGCTGGGAGCAGCAGGAGAGGACCACTGTTTGAGAAAAGCCACCTTCGGCAACTCCTGCTTACTTCCACTGTGGACCTCTGGGAACGGTGGAGTGGCTGGGTGCCGGAGGAAGGATCCACACGTGGGGATGGGGAACCCCTCGGAGATGGTCCTGCTGCGGCCATTTCTGATGAAGCGCTGGGGGAAGCAGTACCTCAGCGCTCTCCAGTCATGTTATGCAGAATGGGTGCTGCCAAAGCATTGCTCTGGAGCCACGGATGAGGGTGAAGAGCCTTGCTTTCCAGCTGGGTGATTGGGTTGGGGTTTGGCAAGAGGAATGGAGGCTGAGGTCTCAGAGATCAAAATCCAACCAAAAAAAGACAATGGGTAAAGCCACAGGATACCTCCAGAAAAAGAGATGAATAAGCTTACTTCAACTAGATTTCAAGTTGGAAGAACAGATTTTATTAAATCTTTGTGTGCTTCTGTTGCATAGTGCAATGTATAATTAAACACAAGAAGTGATATGTAAGAGACTCTGCATGAAAGATAGAAAAAGTATTTGTGCTCCAAGCATTTTAGGTGATTTAGGCAGATATGTACCCATCAGAGCATTAAAGCTGGAACAAGCCTTTATTATGACTAAATAGATTTATGATGAAACACGTAATAAAGAGCGTAATTTACTTGTGGAGAACAGCTCCACAAAACATCATTTAATTACTTTTTTGCAGAGGCAGAAACTATTTCTTCATCCGCAAGATCCATGAACTCATCCAGTCCCTCTAGACCATTACCGCTTTCCTGACGTTACCAAACCATTGGCAAAAATCTGTCTGAATGACGGTGGCCATGGACTGACATGCAACTCCTCCCACATGCAGACCTTCTGAAGGTAATAAAGAGATGGTATAGGGTACCAATCCTATAACCTGCTACACGTGGTGAGAACAAAACCCTTAAGTGGGTCTCATGAGCTCCAAGATGCTGAGATGTTCATTTCACAGAATCACAGAATCACAGAATAATAGGGGTTGGAAGGGACCTCTGTGGGTCATCTAGTCCAACCCTCCTGCCAAAGCAGGGTCACCCTAGGACGGACATCAGCCCTACCCGTTGGTCTCACCTGCCTGAAATATTGAGATGATGAACGACAAGTGGATTTTTGTGTGATCTCTACCAGTACACCATCATTTCAAAAGTTGTACTTTCCAGCCTTCTTTCTCCTGGTTCCCAGCATAAAGAGAGGATGGGAAGAGTGAAAAAGCAAGGCAACTACAGGATATTTCTGGCTGGGAAAGCTAAATCAAGATCTGCAACAATTTAATTTCTTTTGTAATAAATTAAGAAGAGAGAGGGTAGACAGCGGCTGCATCGCAGCATCGCCCCAAGCAGGCAGAAGCCGCATGGTGAGACCCCGTGCGTTCCCCGCACCGCCCAGACGGGGCTCAGCCCAGCGGCAGGGCGGGTACCCAGATATCCCAGCTGCTCTTCCCCACCAATGCATTCACTCTTGCCTCCCAAAAGCCCCGCAACGCCCCGTTTCAGCTGCAGCTGAGGAGAAGCAACCCCTGCAACGACCCCGGGCCCCTCCACCCCCTGTTTAGTCCTTTTCTTTCCTTCCTCACTTGTGCTTTCCCTCCTGCGTCCTTCCCCATTGCTTTGGCCCCTCTATTCTCCTCTTTGTCTCCTAGCTTAGCCTTTCCCCTCCTGGCCTTTAACTCTGCACCGATCCTTCTCCTTGACTTTAGGCTTAACCTTTCCTTTTCCATTTTTGAGTTCAAATGGAGCCTTTTCCTGTTTTCCCTTCCTCAAATGCTATTTTATCTCGAGCCCCCATTTCCTACGTTGATAATTAACACACTTTGTAATTCTGCTTTCTGATTCAACAGGCGCTCCTTTCTTCAGCCCTGAGATTTGCCAGTCACATCTTTTCATGGAATTTCCTATTTATTAGATGACCTCTGGGTCCAGGGAGGAGCAGTTTTTCTTTCCAGCCTCTAGAGAAGAAAGTTGCCAACAGCTTCTCTTTTAAAACCCCAAACCAGACTGTCTTCCCTCCGGGAGACTCCAGCATGTATTCCCAAAGCCTGATTGTTATCTGGCGGTACCAAAGTTCTGCCCATCCTGGAGAGATGTGGTGTGACCAAGCTCTGCCCATCCCGTCGAGTACCACGCAGAGCCGGAGCCCAGGTGAGGTGCTCCAAACCTCTGTGCAGGGTGGTCCCTCCCCACCGGCAGTAGATGCGGCTGTTGGCCCCTAAATGCAGTTAATCCTGAATTTTAGGGCTGGGAAAACCTTCACACCAGGCTGGAAGGATTTCTTTAAAAAAAAAATAGTAGTTAATTGGGTCTATTTTTTGTGTCTTTCTGGGGACTTGTTGTTTTGCTCAGCCATGCAAGCCTCCTGGAGGGGAGGGCATTAGGTCTAATAAAATCATAGCAATCCCCACCAATTACCTAAACTGGCTTTTCTACCCATAATATCATGAGTTTACGAGCCAGGAGTTCAGGATCAACTGGAGCGAGAAGCGAGGACTATATTTTCAGCCATCAGCCACCACATTTCTTCTTCCTAGAGATGTAAAGCCTCACAATGGGCTGATCTCTGGCAAGAAATAGTAGAAGTGAGAGAAAAAAAAAAAAGAAAAAAAAAAGGAGAAGAAATAAAAGGTTTGTGTTTTTAAAAGTGGCTGCTAGAAGCAAGCAGGAGCCCTGGGAGAGGTGGATTAGCATCCCGGCAGAGATGGATTAGCATCCCAGGCACAGGTAAAATGGGCAGGGGGGACAGCCGGGGTTCCTGCCCGATGCCTATGCCCATCCCGGGTGCAACACACATCCATGCACAGCGAAGGGCAAAGGTCTGCGGCAGTGCTTGGTGGTTTGGAAGACCCCGCGGTGCAGGGACCCAGAGCCTCTGCAGGGAGTGCGATCCCACCCATCAAACCAGAGGGACAGAAGGGCAAGCGCCAGCAGGCTGTGGGTGAACGAGCATGACCTCATCCCTCAGACACGCAGAGCTGCCGCGAGATTAAACCAGAAAACAGTCGCTGCTGCAGCGCTGCTGGCAGAAGGGGAGCCTCGCTCCTGGGAGAGAAAAGCCCCCCGAGCATCTTTCCCTCCCTCTCTCTCCCCCTCCCTCCTTCCCTACCTCAAGCAGCTCCCAGCTGAAGCAGGGGAAGACATCCCTTTTCCAGGATTTCAGCTCTTTCCAGGGGGATTTTTAGGAGCCCTGCTAGCAGACCACCAAGGAGGGTCACAAAGGTGCTGTGCTCATCCAGGAGAAGAGAAGGAGAAGCACAAGCCCTGCTTTTAGAGGCAGAGGGCTGACAGGCATATCATCTGGTCTCTGGCTCCCCCGAGGCAGGATTATTCCTGGCAGATCTCTCCCTAATCCACGCTTTAAGACCTCCAAAGATGGAGGGGGCCTCCACAAGCCCCCAGGACATCTATTTTTTGCCGTGTCTTGCTTTTTTTATCTTGGAAAGTTTTTCCTCCTGTTTAATCTGAACGTTTCTTGCAGCTGCTTACTCCCAGGAGTTTTTGTGCTGTTCACTTGGATTTTCTTGCCTTTGCTACAGCACTTTTCCAACACAGATGTGTGCTGTGCCCCTCCACAGCCTTCTCTGATCTCCTGTGACCTCTCCCTATCCCAGCCAGCACTTTCCCTAGCTGCGATGCCGAGCTCGTGGTGCACCCCGAATAAAATCCCATTAGACGTCCTAATCCTCCGCAAAGGTCCGGGGATACAACTTAAAGGCTCCTGGGCTTTTCCTCCAGAAGTGCAACAGCAAAGCCGTGCCCATCTGCCTGGCTCACTCCTTGGGTCCCTTGCACACCCCTTGGGTCTGTTGCACACAAGCATCCACACACCCACGCACAAACTGAGAGCCGCAGGCTTTGCTCAGGGAAAATACTAACGCGAATACGCACGTCTGATCCATCCTGCCACCAGACTCCTCCTGCTAACGTACCAAAGATGCTGGATGCTATTACGAAGCCAAGTGGCAATGGCAGCGGCTGACAATGTTCTTCCCCAAGGCCCCAAAGACATCGGCATCATCACAGTTTTTTAAGATGAGGCTTGGCTGCAGGTAGGAAACCAAGTTTTTCATATGGATTTAGCACCTAGGAAGCAAGCAGCATGTGATGCTGTGGATTTTTGGGAGGGCTCGAGCTCACAATGTCTTTTTCCAAGACGCAGAAGGGAGAGCTGCGTCTCCGGAGCAGCTAGGCCAGCCGGGATGGGAAACTGCGGTGAACTTTGGTGGTGCAAGGCCCTACCCTCTTCCCATCACCAGCCACTCCACAGCCCATGTCTCCAAAGGGTACCAACCTCCTTGCTTCCTCAGCATAGGGAGCATCCCACGAGCACATGGCGTGACACCATTCCCCTGCAGCCAGCGGCCCCTGGAAGCAGCCAGCCAGCAAACATGACATCAAGTTATTGCAGGATGATGGGGATAATGCACGAAGGATGACAGCAAGAACCCTCTGGAGAGCGACAAAATCTCATAAACACCCTGCGCCAAGATGGGGGTGGAGCACAAACCCTGCCGGGGCACACGTCCTCCTGATGGCACCCAGGCAGCGTTTGCTGGGACCAGGGGCCTGCACCCCAATCCGAGGGGAAGTATCTCCCACTCCTCCCAACTAACCACATCGCGCTGCACCTCCGAGCATTGCTTCCACACTGGGCTCAGGCACATCCCTAAAGCACATCTCCTTGCAGAGCACTTGATTACGGCTGCATCTCCAAATTCCTGCAAGATATTTGCCTTGGCAACCTCACTGGGAGGATTTTAGGGGCTGGGAATTCCCCCCTCAGTCCTCAGCCCACCCAGGGATGAACAGGGAAGCTTGGAAAACGAAAGCATAAAGCTGAAAAAGGAATAAATGAGCCAGAAAGTGGAAGTTGACACCTGCCTCAGTTGATGGGAGATGCTGAACTGCAAGTTAAAGGATGGTGAAACAAGGTCAGTGAGATTTATACCGAAAGCCTTGGACAGCTTCCAGCCTCTACCATCAGCGGTGAAGGCTTGGAAAAGAGGAGGGAAAAAGTTGCTTTCCTTCTAGGAACCCCACTGCAAGGTTTGCAGAGAGAGATCCACCGGCATGGCTCGGTCCTGCCTATGGGAAAGCAAAAAGTAAACCCCCCAAAAAATTGTTTTCCAATTGTAATGCAACATGGAGCCTGGCTGCAGCAGATGTTGAACTCTGGGTCAGCAGGACCGCAGAGGAGTTAAAGCATTCAGCACCACCTCAGTTTAAATGAGCCAGCTGCCCTGGCCAGCCCGGACACCTGGGTGAGGAGCTCCCCGCCATGACAGGCGGAAACCTTTCTAACAGCTCCTTCCCGAAAACACCGTGCCTACATAGAGGCTTAAAGCTGCCCAGTCGCTGCGGCATCCAAGAGAAATACATACACCGTATCCTTGGGACACCCAGGTGGCTGTTACAGCCTCCCCGTACGGGCGAGCGGCCGCGGCTGGGACCACTTGGGGCGCAGGATGCTGACCCCGGCATCACCTGCATCCCACCAGCGTCACTTAGTCTCTGGGGAGACGAGCTGTCCCTGCCGAAATATGCACCCACGCCACGGGGCTGGCTGGTGGGACACATCCATCCCTGCCCGCTCTCTTGGCATCCCCAGCCCTTCCCTTTGTTTACAGCAATATTTTTCCTGTTGAGGCCCAACACAGACTATGTTAGCCTTGCCCAGCCTCCCTCCAGATGCACCTTCCCCTCTCTACACATTGACCATATTATGAATTTTTAATCATCCTCCTGCTAAAACTAAGCTTACTCAAGTGTAAAACCCAAATCTACTTTTTTTGCCTCTTCCAGCTAGCCC